AGCGGTTAAGATTCTACTCCAATTACTCGCATCAAGGGAAAAATAAAAATAAACCCAGCATTCATCTTAAAAAAGCAGAATTCGTATAAAATGAAATATATTCAAACATTTTCAGAGTAGTTTGCTATCTTGACTAAATGGCACCAGCTTTCGAGTGGTCATGTAAAAGAAAAACCAGTAATGTTTCAAATTTTGCCTGGAAGTTATTCTAGAAGCAGAATTTCTATCTTCGTATTTGCTGCTAAAAGGAAGAAGTAAATGTGAACCGAGTATCGACGAATATTTAATCTATACATCTTCTGATTTGGTTTGATTCAGTAAGTAGAAAAGATTTTCCATACTCAAGTTATCTACAGGTTATGTCTATATATAAAAAAAAGGTGTGGATATATACATTTAATACATACACACACGCTCGTACGTATATACACAAACTGGAAATGGATGGTCTCCCCTCCACAGCGGTGACGCGCTGAGCCCACGCTTCACCTCGGAACCTGCTTTAAGGCTGCACAGGGTGTCGGTTCTGGGACAAGACACGGGCAGATGCTCTTGGTCTGGGCTGTAATTGTTCCACTTCATGATCTATTGTTACCACCTCTAGTTGTGCACGACGAAGTTTCAATAACTTAGAATTTGTTGTATAAAAACAATTCCAGAAACAGAACTCCCTTATTCAAGGAACGTCCCCCGCTCCCACCCCCGTGACATCGTTTTTGCTAACTGATTACAGAAGTCAAACTAAATCACATCAGAAACTGCAAACGCACTCTTTTGTCTTAATCTAAAACAACACCCATCAAAACATTCTGCAGTGTGGCATCCTTCGATTTTCTCATCTTCTCAATTGCCCTCTGGAGATCCTGCTGCTGCACAGGCCGAATTTCATCTTCGTCATGGCTTTAAGAGAGAGAGAGAGAGAGAAAAAAAAGCAAGATGGTGATTCAGGTGCTGGGTAACAGCTGTTCAAACAACGAGAAGTAAGCACTGAAAACAGCAGCTCTGACATGGATCCAAAATTACACGAGAGACGTCCGGGCACGTTATCGCCTGCAGGTATGGGAGACAATCAGAGAAATGTCACAGCAAGTGGAGTTCCGCGCGTCCAAGAGCGTCACCAGCACGTACGCCTGGTAATACAGCGCAGTAAGAACACTCTCTTGTTGGTTCGACACCTTGGAACAAAGAGTCTTATTTTCATAGTCACAACGAATAAAGGTAACGTATTTGTTGGGGGTTTTTGTTGTATAGAGGCAATTTGTCAAGAAAAAAAGAGAGCCTCCTGCTTTCTGTGAGTCACAGCAAGGTTTTTTTAAACCTCTACAAATTTGCAATTCAAATCAGAAAATACACGCGGTAATTGGGCCGCGTGTAGCACCACGAGCGTTCACAATTGCCATTCAGCGATCGTAACAGACAGAATAAAGACACATACGTCTCTTCTTCACAGGCAGAATTAACATATTCCCTGACACAGAGGAGCGCTGCATCCCGGCACATTTCTTTCAGATCACTGCCTGAGAAGCCGTCAGTCTCTTTAGCAACTTCCAGGAGGTCCACGTGCCTGTCCACCTGTCCAAAACCAAGAGGAATGAGCATGAAAACTCTCAGGTCATTTACCTTGTTCACCGAGGACAAGAAACAGTCACCCCCAAGTATTTTTACCTGCCCTAAGATCTTCTTTTTCAGTCTGGACTTTTTTTGAGAGCTAAAAGACAATTATTTTATTAACTTATGCTTTGAACCCTCCAAGTAGTTCATTTCATTAAATGAAACTGCTGCTTCATCTCAGAAAACTCTGTAGCCGATAAAAAAAAATATAGAGAACATGCAACCGAAAGCGAACCATCATATTGGAATATTTTGTTCCTGTGCGGTTTTGGAAGCCTATAGGATGGCAAAAACTGATCACAGAAATAACGACCCATTTACCCAAATGCCCGCACACGTTTCCGGCAACGGCACCGGGGTTTTTTTGTGAGGGGCTCAATCAGACCACATGTGCGTCTTTTTTATCCACAGGCAAGGAGTGCTACCTAACGGGTCTCCTTTCACAGCCACAGCCCTTTTTTTTTTTTTTTTTTTTTTTTACATTCTTTGAAAGAGCGCATTTTGTTTTCATAAACACGTCTTTTGACCAGTGACACAACAAGGCTGCAAAAAGCTCCTGGCGCATTTACGGTTTGCCGTTATGCCTTTCGGTGCGGAACAAGACCCTCAAAAGCAGTCATTCACCACCTCGGCAGCTCAGCTGTCTGCCAAGTTACTGAACAACTGCTCCTGCTTTATACAACCACGAAACGGGGAACTCGGAGGCAAAATACTGTGTCTGACTCCGTGCACTGGATCAGACTGAACTCTTTCCAGCCAAGACCCCACAGTTATTCAGTCCAGTTACAGAATCTCTGATTACAGCCCTTTCCAGCACATGTTCCAACGCATCAGCATTTCCTTTTCAAAAAGTTAAAGCCAAATTAGTCTAATAAAAAGCTGAAATTATGGGATGACTTCTTCTAAGAGGGAAACTATTCCAGGCTGATGAAGGCAAAGCCCCAGGTGTAATCTTTGCTGCTTCCAGCTCCCCCCCTCAATCCGTGCACTCCCCAGAATAACCGAGGAACGTGCCGGCATCCACTGAGCACCCTTCCAATTCCCCACTGTCCTCCTGCTGCTCTTGAAGGACAAGGGTTACGGTGACACTGTGCTGTTGGCTCCTATCTTGCGCCTGCACTTGAGCCCCAGCTCCCTGACCCGCGGCTCAGCACGCAGTGCTCTGGTTCGGGTCCGGATCGAGCCATCTGGCTCCCCAGGCACGGGAAGGAAGGCAAAAGCGGCATCGAAAGTTCCTCCTACAGACACTGCAGCCTGGCCATCTTGAAGTGCTTTGCTTTAAAGCACGATCCTGCACACAAATACGGAAGCCAGTAACAGTCAGCTGTGCACCTGCAATGCATTTGCTCGACGTGGGGCGGAACGCCATCAAAAATTGAACGGAGCAACGCAACTGGCTACGAAGAAATAGGAAACGGGCATGTTGTGTAGCAGGCATTGGCAAGGATTTCCCTTCAAGTGAGAAAGGAGAAACAAGATTTTAAGACGGGCAAGGAAAACGGAGGGCACGGCCGCGCCTGTCGTGTGAAGAGCTGCCAGGAAGCCTGTCACCCTTGCTGAACATAAGCCAGGCTTGAGAGATCTAACTCCTCCTCCTAAGGGATAACCAATACAGGCTAATTTTTGTTTTTCCCCCCGAAAAATGTTGTGTGTGTGACTTGTGATTTACTGCCAGATGCTTGATATACCTCGTGTTCCTTCAGGTCCGTATTCAGGAGCCAATTTAGATCCCTGCTGAAGGTGCTAAGGCCAAGGTGCTGCAACTCCCAGGCCCAGCTGCCGAGGCAAAGGAGACAGAATCCACTTGCGTGCAAGGGCTGCAGATATTTGGGGAGCCGGAATAAGGGTCTATTATTTGGCATATCTCCCTAACAGATGAAAGAGCTCTTGAAAAGAGATTTGAGTCTGAAATCACCACTTTGCAAGAGACGTTATACTTTGAGATCTTCTGCAAATAGGGCAGCTCTTCCTGCACAACTCCTTTGGCATTTCGTATCAGTTCTGTTCTTCCATCTATGCCTAGTAATTTGCAAAAAAGCCAACCTACATTCTAATCCTACGCAAACAATTCAAAATGACCATGTGCAAAGTAACCTCCCCCATATCTCAGCTATTTGCAATGAGCAGTTGTGATTTTTAGGCCTCTTAAAAAAAACAGTAGTAACAATATCTATAGTAGTTTTCCTCTAAAGGAAACAGGAACTAGGGATCAAAAGTGCAAAAAGCAGCACTGTCAAAAAGTGTCATTGCTCCTTTCTTGACTTGAGCCTGTATGGAGTTTAAAAAAAATTAGGCCTCTCTTTTCCCTGCGTAATGATGTCTTGAAATTTCTTTCACTGATCAAAGTGATTTCCAAACATGATTCGCCTTCAGCATCTTTAGAGAGATAAATACATTATCTTCTTATATAACAAGAAAATGGAGACAGAGAAATTAAGTAATTTTTCTCGGAGATGGTGATTCACCACAAAATCCAAGCCTGCTGCTCTGACTGAGGCTCATGCTTAAACCAGTACGCAACTCTACTGCTTTAATTTAACACCACACCTAAAACCACAAAAGATTCCTAAGTTATAATCAGAAATACCCTGGTAGATAATCTCTACGTTACCCCAAGACAGTCAATTATAAAACATGTTTTCTACAACTCCAGAGCTTGCACTCATGAAAACAGTAATACAGCAAATTAACCATTAAAAGAAGTCTACTTACATTTTCGTTTTTCAAAATTAGCTTCAAGATTGCTTCTCTTTGTTTCAGAGCCTTAAACAAAAGAGATCAAAGTTACTAGAGTACAAAAATAAACGTACGTAACACCTATCAATTTTGCAGCGTATAGGCTCTCACAATTCAGTGACACGAGCTGATCCCTCAAACAGGATGTGATACACACTGAGGAAACCCATCTGATGGCAAATCACTCAGCAAAACGAGACCTAGGGCACTCTGACTCCAGGAGCACGTGAAAATAAACATTCGAGCATACACATTTACCCCAACTACAGGGAAAGGGAAAAGGCGCTGCCTTACTATGCCCTAGATGAAGGCAGCCGTCTCCAAAGATTTCCTATCATCTTTAACGGAGGGCTGACTCTCTAGATCTAGGGGATGCTCTCAATACTTTGCTAAACCAGATGAAGAGGATAAACTGTTCTGCTTAAAAAAAAAAAAATTAATTCTACAGATGGTGCTTGGGAAATTTTAAGCAATATAAATCATGTACTGTAATGAGGTTACTGAAAGAAACAGTTATGTCCTGAGCATATCCTTACCAGCAAGGTAAAACACAGGCAGCAAAGAGACAGGTTTTTTGTTTCTCCAAAACCAAACTTGTCCTCAACTCACTTTCATTGTTAAAAAGGGAAAAAACCGCCCCATAGATACTCTGGCAGCTAAACAGTTGATACTCTGTCTCAAAAGATACTTTTCCTGTTTCCTTCTGCCTTGCAGATAATTTCTTATGAGCAATTTTGGGCATTTTCATCTCAAACGTAGTTATGAAATCTGCAAGGCTTTAGCTACTCCGCAGCAATACCTGTGCAAACTTCCCATCCACAGCACATGAATTATCTCGGCCCTCAATAAAAGACTCGTAACCAATCTTGGTTGTATCAAAGTGCCACAGACAAGAACAAGAGACAAGCTGTAAGGTCATGGTATGGCTGTAGCGGGGTAAGGAAAGTTACGTGCCTGTGCCCTGAACGACACCTCCTGTTGTAACTCTGGTCCTGGGAGAGGGAGACAACCCCTGTAATACCCCGAGGCACTGTTACCTGCGGGTAATTCATCCTTCTAACAACGGTTCTTGATAGAAAGACACGATAAAGTACTAAAATACACATCCTTGCCCCTTACTAATTCAAGGAGAACTTGAAGATGAGTAAGGTGTATGAAAACCTGTGAGCAGGCATCGCAGAAAAGCAGTTAGTGGGTCATAAATGCTTTGTTTCGAAAAGTATCCGCCCACAAGGAGTGAAAGCCAGTTCAAACAAGATGGGTCTGGGAACATGACTACTCTCTTGCACAATCAAGAGCTTCACTCCTCCAGTTTTGTCTCTAAGTTTCTGCAAAAAGTGAATAACGAAGGCTATTTCTGTAGCCAGAAGGGAATACCGACAACCACGACTGAACTCTTTATACTATTGATACAAAAAGATCTTGTGATATCTCTAAGTGTTTGAAGGCGACTAAAATACCTTGAAAAGGATGGCAATCGCAAAATTTATAGTAAGGGTAACCTTGTGATGGCTGGCCTAATTGATAAAGACCTTAATTACTGCCTGTTTGGCATAAATCGTAATCGGAATAAAAACGGTTTTCCAGGTTGCTTGCGGTGCCTGACTGTGGCAAGGCTTGAGCAGAATGTAGGCTTTGGCACGCAGATTTCATTCCCTCTTCTCTCCTTCTCTTCTAAATACTGTGTTATCGAGAAGGTATAAATGATAGTCAATATGTACCGGCTGCTTGGTACTATCCGATCTGGGTGCCACTCTCCCCGTAGGCAAGTGTGCGCAGTCACTTTTGTGCTTTTTGTGACAGTTTTCAAGTTAAGACTAAGCTCTTTCCAGAGGGGAGTGTCTAAGCCTCTCCATTCTTACAGATGAAGAAAATGGGTGGGAAGCTCTCAGAACACACGGGGTTGTTTCAGATAAAAGACCCAAGCAATCAATATTTCTGTGAGAAACTTCACCTTAAAAAGCAAAGTTATGTATGTGGTTCTAAAAACCTAAAGCCAGACCAAAATAATACAGTATTCCTTTAAAAAAACCAAACCAGAGACGTGCGTTTCTTGGCTGATGAGGCACCTGCCCGTAGCTCAGCTACCAGCACACTGTTCAGGCAAACCTGGCATGACTTACAGGTTGGTTGATATGAAACCGGGTCGGCATTCTTCTCATGATTGCAGAGTCAAGATCCTGAGGACGGTTGGTGGCTCCCATTACTATTACCTGCGTGCACCAACAGAAAAAACGAGTCAGCCTGGAACCAGCCTTTGAAAACATCACCCTATTGGAGTTTCAAAACCAAACGTGTGACTGATTCTTCCACACTTTATCAAGAACATCGACAGTTAAAGAAGTTACGTAAGGTTTCTTGGTACTGATTTCAGCAACTGGATTTAACCAGGCAGCTTAAGAGAGCACTGGTACCACAGAGTACCATCTGGGTGGAGATTTTTACATTAGTGTGAAGCCTTCTGAGCCCAATTTGAAAGTTCAAACTCTAAGCAGTAACCCAAAACTCCTGCTTGTAAGTCCTGGCGATGTCTCTTTAGTTCCTGGTGGTCCAGAAGGAACTTGAAAGGAGGTGTTTTGATAAGGTACTAAAAAATGTGGCATTTTTGTGCTATGTTGAAAAAAGAAAAGCCATCAGTTCACCAGGATGACCAAACTGGCAGCTTTTGCATGCACTAAAATGTTGGGGGTTTTTTTACTGTTAAAAAAAAAAGCATTACAAGTCAGTAAGAACCTATATGCACCGGTCTACCGTAACAGCAGCGCATTAGATGTGTACAAGCCAAGTTCAAAACAAGGAGAGTATCTACCTCTTTTGACCACATTCCAGTTATTAGCTAAAGAACAAATTTACTTTCCATTCACATCAGCCTCATTTTCTCATTTGTTATTGTAAGTTATGTACATTGTAAACACCCAGTCACAAAAGTGAAAAATGTCAGGGAAATTAATCTCCTATCAATACAGTTTCCTGACGTGCTTCTGGTCTTTTGTCCGGGGTCACTGTTCCGCAGCCAGCCCTGGCAGCTCCAGCAGCCCCTGGCCAGCCTGGGTTGCGTGTCGCGGAGCAGAGTCACCCTGCCACCTAGAGGCTTCATTATACGGTGGCAAAGCGCTACGCACAGAAAAAAGTCAAAATGTGCATTTTTCGCCAGGGCTCCGGCAGTCTTCACCTTCTAGAAGGCATTACGTATGAGCGCTTTGCTCTTGCCTGCGTGCTAAACGTGCTGAAGTTTGGCAGAGCTGCCTCTTGCAAAGACGCATCGCTGCACCCATGCTGTCTGCATCAAGGTTTGACGTGGGACACAGTGCTGTTCCCTCTGCGCCACCGGAGCCGAGGAGCCTTCCCAAAACCAGCTTTGTCTGCAGGTTCTGTGATTGTGTGCACACATGCAGCTGTACGGGCTTCAAGCTGTCCCTTCAAGCAGCACAGCTCTGTTTTCCAGGCACGGTGCCCCAAGTTCCTGGCGGGACTCAAGACTATCCCCTTGGCAGGTTTAGCCCAAAGCTGAACAGGCTTTTCAGGTGCAATCAACACAGGAACAAATAACATTCATCACAACACTTATTTACCATTTCCTCCTAGCATTTGGAATTTTTGTTACTGTAACAAAAGCCAAATTTAATCCTTATTCAAAGGAAATTTGTTTGGCAAGAATCAGACAAGCAACCCAAAGCTCCCAAGTAAACATTTGTAATTAACAAAAGAGCCCAGTGAGCTGGCTGTCAAAACCCGAGACAATGCAAACGTCAAAACATCGCTTAAAGAACACTTCCTGAATTGCAATGACATCTCGGGGAGGAGCCTGAAACACGGTACCGACTGAAAAACTCCCCAGAACCCTGAATCGACCCCTGGGGTGCCTCCAGCCGATGGCTTGCGTCACGTTTTACTTCGGTGGCTCCCTACCCTGCAGGGGCACACGAGCAGGGGACAAGAGTGACTTGTGCAGGCTCTGCACGCTGAACTCAAGAGACGGGTAAGACCACGTATCGCCTTACTGCGACGAACGAACAATTTGACTTGCTCCGAGAAGTTGTCACGATGTTGGGAAAAAAAGATAATACATTCAAACATGGGAAGAAACGTGTGCTTGCAAGATCGTATTAGCTTCCAGTTAAGCGTTCATACCGTTGGCCTCCTGTTAATGGTAAGCAAACATTCTGCTTTGTGTCCTAATCAGTTTTTTAAAAGTCAACTGAAAAGTATCTTTAGTACAAGCTTGACAGAGGAGGAAAAGCAGATTTTACAAAGAAAGAACTATTGGAGGTCAGAGCATTGGAACCCATTCACAGAAAAATACAGATTAAAAAGGCTGAAAAATTTTAATCTGGAGAATAAACATCATTTTTAAAGGCCTTAAAATAGATTGCTCCAGGTGACAGTTCAGGAACGTACCAAGCAGGCTTTTGTCTACGGTAAGTTCAAGTTATTTATTTCATAAATGGCTTTTGTTTGTTTGTTTTTACAGCACCAGCAGCTTTTGTATTTTTTTTTCCCCCTCTCCAAAATACAACACTTCTGCTGAGATTACGGGAGGGCTGCAGAAGCGTACAGGAATACCGGAATGGAAGCATGGCTCCATTTAATAGAACTTATCTTTTGATAACATCAACTTCTCTACCCTTTCAGATTAACTCCAGAGTCTAGTGCTTGTCTAATGCTAGTCTAATGCTTTTCTGGAAACAAACCAACCAACCTGCAACCGGGATGAATACTCAGATCTTTCAATACCTTTCCAAAAATCAAAGATTCGCTTCACCTGAAGAAAATACTGTTGACAAAATGTTTTTCAAAACAGTTTAAAAATTCCCAATTTTGGCAGCTCAAACTATACAGCTATATTATTGAGACTTAAGACACTTCTGAAAATAACACCTCTTAATTAAAACCAAAACACCTACAAAAACAGTCTGCTCAAGAAGAACAATGATCTATTAACATGACTCGTCTCATTCCCGTAACGTTCTGTTAATCTGTGAGAGGTAAAGACGCTCTTTTGGCCATGATTACCACCTGCAATCGGCTCCTCTTCCCAGATGGCTCGATGCACAGTAACTGAGAGGGAAGAATCCCGTTACTTTTCTCGTCATCCTTTGTACTTACTTGGCAGTTATAATCAGTGTCCAGTCCATCCCACAGACTCATGAACTGAGCTTTCATCATAGCTGTAGCTTCATGGTCGGAACTTGACCGACTTCGTAAGAAGGAATCTGTATCAAAGGATTCAGTAAAGCAGTTTACTTTCAATCCTGCCACAGAAACTACGCTGTTTGATTTCTCGTGTGCAGACTTGTGCTATTCCCTTATAAATATTTTTTAAAAATGTTGTCAATAAATGAAAAATATTTCTTATGATGAAGAATAGGAAAGTGGAATTTCACATTTTAAAGCACATCTGTTAAATTACATCACACAAGTACATGCCTATCGCATGAGACTGTCCCAAATCCTGTGCTCCAAGTTTTCACTTTCCTGAATTCATGGAAAGTGTAATTTTCACCTTAATTTCTCATGCAAAGATAGAAGCATAGCATAGTCTGGCAAGCTAGAGGACACCAAAGCACAGGAGAACAGCAAGCTGCAGGACTGACGTAAAGTAGGCTATACGCTTCGTTACGCAGAGCTCTAACTCTGCCAGTGGTTGCCTAAAGAATTTCCAACAGCTAGAAAAACACCACATTTTTCACTCCTGTACAGAAGGATAAAAAGCATCTTCACGATGCCCCTTCAGAAGAAACCTAGACTGTGGAAAGGCTAACAGCTTCATCAGGCTGTTACAAGCCGCTCTAGGAAGTGCCAGTGCTACGAGACAACGAGCAATTGTAACTGAACTGCTCACATTCACACGACTAAAACACTAATGCGACAAGTCCAGATGTGCTGAACTACTGGCACCTTTGCTCTCTTCCCAGGTGAAGTTCCCCTCCTACTTCTTCAGCCTTATTAAAATATTCCTGAGCTCTCCTAAACCCATGTTTTATTTTCCATTACGTGCCCTCACAGCAGAAGCATTGAATTGTATTGGTGATGGGTTTCCTGAATAAGTAGTTCCCTTGACAGAAGAAAAGCTTTCCTCATGAACCACCTTAGCCCAACCAAAAATAAGCAGCAACTTGTTCTACTTGTAATTTCCTCCACTAACACGAGGAAGGAATACACTGTTTTTCCTAATTTGCCACCATTACTTTACAATACTATTTATATTCCTAAACCTTGTTCCATTATCACTCCTTTTAAGGAACAGAGGACAGTAGATCAATATACCCATCGACTTGACGCTACAGTTTAATGTCATTCTGCTATAGTTACCAAAAAAAAAAAAAAGGATTTTTACCTATTTCGTCAATAAAAATGATGGACGGTTGGAGCTTTACAGCAAGAGAGAAGACAGCTGCAGCCAGTTTCTGAGACTCCCCATACCACTTGTCCGTCAGCGTTGAAGGCTGGAGATTAATAAATCGACAACCTGCTTCCTTTGCTGTAGCTTTGGCGATCAGCGTTTTGCCACAGCCAGGAGGGCCATAGAGAAGTACTCCTGAAAAAGTAGCAGTGTTAATGCTCGCTGTACAGAAAACATGCTTTGGTACGACAGACCTGATAGTGTCCAGGCTTGCAATGTATTCAAGTTTTAGGAGATAAGAAACCAACATACACAGTGTTCCATCAAATCAAATACAGAGGTATTTAAGATATCATTAGAAAATTAAAGCTAAGAATATCTAAAGACAGGTACGGTGAAATTGAAGGGAGACATTTATCTGAAATATGACTGTTTTATTACTGTGGCTATAAAGGTTACATAAAATTAAAACCCTATTTATTTCCTGTAAGCATTTGACAGGCCTTGCTTATAGCCAGTTTCAGCCTTGCTAATAAAACTTAGCACGGGGGGGGAAGCGTCCACAAACATTTTAAACAAATTACCCAAAATTAAATATGACATATTATTTTTAAACTTGTCATAGTGAAAGAATTCACAGCAGTGTTTTTCTAACATAGTTGTAAAGAAAACAATTCAAAGAAAAAACAAACAAGCCTGAAACACAGAGAATTCCTAGATTAGGGGTTTTTTCTGTTCGTGTGACTGACAACCACAAACGTAATTACTCTGAAGCAATGCTTCCCATTAGCACACAGTACAAGCCACTAATAAAACCGAGGAGTCTGCCCTACATGGGAAGTCTGCTTTGAAAAGATAAATAAAAAATAATTTTTTCCTTCAGCTTATTAGATCATGACATTGAAGTAATTTTCCAGGCAGTTTCAATTTGTGACTTAAACAGAAAGTAGCCTGGAAAAACTAAACCAGTTACAAAAGTGCTTCATTTTCTATCACTTAGTACACGAAACTGAGACCGTCACAGATATATTTAATTAATGTAATGAACAGTTTTCAGAGAATTTTCAGAAGACAATATTCCAAGGATCAGAGCAGTAAAGATAAACTTTGGCATTTTGTCCAATGTTTTAGGTTCATATTCTACTCGTCTGCAGTAACATACAGCAAATATGGCTGTAAGCATTCCGACAGCGAGAGTCCAACTTCTGTTTTACTGTTGGAAAGTTATTTTGTCACCTGCCGGTTTCCTTACTGCCTCAATACTGTGCAACTCAGCTCCGGAGAAAATCAAGGGATCTCCAGAATAAAAAATGGGATTTCTGTCTCTTTGAATGACTGGAATCTCTAGGACTGGAATGGAGAGATGTCTGGCAAGATTAGCTTACATTGATGTCTCATGTTTACGACTGATGTTTCTATGATACCGTAGAAATATTAACCAAGCGTACAAAGCTGTACAGCAGAGTTAGAGCTCACCTCTGCCACAGGACAAGATGGGGTACAAGATGAAAAAAAAAAAATAAATTCGACAATTTAGGCAGTTAAAAATGCAGCCTACATAGATAAGCAGACCAAAATGTAAAATCAATAACTGAAAAGCAATTATTGCTTCATTATTAAGATGAAACTTATTCACTAGCAATTGATTTCACGGCAAGAGAAGAGGAAAAACCTGAGGGTTTTCCCTGGCATCAGCCCTAACGGTTGCACTTTGGACTGGCAACCCACTTCCTCTTTCCTTTATGGGTAATTGTAACCTTTTTTTTTTTTTTTAATAATACCAACATATAAATCCGTAACGTTTCCTTCCTACCTTTTGGTGGCTGTAAGAGCCTGGAATTCTCAAACAAATATTTCTTCTTGATAGGCAAAATGACAGTGTCTTTCAAATCTGTAATAACATCATCTAAGCCTGCAATATCACTCCAGGTTACCTGATATGGAAAAACAGTATTAGAAATTATTATTGTTGTCCCTGCCAACAAAAAATACCCACAAGCTTAAAAGTAGTGCAAGGCCTCAAAATAAAAAGGACAAGTGATTAAAAAAACTCTGCTCTCAACGATGAAACTTTAGTTTTAAATTGCGGAAATATTTTCTATGTATTTCCATATATAGATATATATATGACAAATAATGTCACCCAAAGTCAAAATCAAGATCTTCCATGTATGAAGTGCTTTCATCAGAGTAACACAGAAAAGAGTTTCTTACATGCATGCTAAGTGGGTCTACGAGATGTGCTGCAATACTCATTTCATATTCAGTAAGCTTGACATTTTTCACTCCGATTTGCTTCATTAGTTTTTCAGCCTGGGGGAAATAAAATGCCAAGAAAAATCAGCGAAAGAAACTGAATATTTAATTCAAAAATTAGTTTTTAAGGAACTGCTATTTGGAGTCTGAAAAGCTTATCCGTAAGCCATGTTTGAAAAGACCTTAAATCCGTCTGAAGTATAAGGTTCTGCTATTTCCTAATGACTTCTTGTCACTTGAGTGAAATTAAGTCATATGTCTCAGTTCCCATCAAATAAGTGTCACACCAGCCCTCCCACCACCAAATCCACAAGTCCTACATGATGATCTGAAAAGCAACCCAAATAAACATTAAAACACGGAGCTTGCTGTTCAGAACACGTCTGCAGACACACAGGTAACCTCAGTACAAAATCATTTCCATGATCTGTAACGGGAGTTTCCAAAGCTGATACAGGCACGTTACACTTAAAAAAAAAGCCCAGCGGTCCTTACAAATGTTGTATAGGATTCAGATGAAAAGCCTGAAGCTTGTTATTAAATAGAACTCTATAGAGGTCTTTCATGTGCTTAATTATCTTCATTCACAACCCTGCAAACAATACACACGCACTTTAAAGAGAAATAAAATTGTGTTATTATAAAAAGCATGCCCCCCTCCCCGACCTCCACAGCACTGTATCAAGGAGAGATTCGTATATTTTTAAGGAAAAACCAACAGATAATTCACAGAAGCCAGTCGATTTTTTCTATGTATTCAATGTTTTCTTTTTCCCCTATTTAAAAGGAAAAGTCATTTGTTGTGTCAACACGCTTTCACAATTCAGTTTCTCTTTATACTCAAACTTTGCGGTTAAGTCCGACATGCTTTTGGAATACTGCAACCTCTTATATAACAGCTGGCACTAGCACAGATTGTGAAAGTCGATTTCTAAAGTGGGGCCAATTTTTTAACTAAAGATTTCATTAAAAAAGAAAACCCACTGAAAAGAGCATCAGGTTGCTCAAAATTGCTGTTTGAATCTGTGAAATCTGTGTCAGCCAGAAAACAACAAAAAAAAAAGCTGCAACATTTCCTTCAATAATTTCCAAAGGAAACACTTAACTTTTGGTTCTGAAATGCACCTAAATCTCTTCTCAAAGCATTAACTCTCAGGAATCTCCCCTTTCCAGGGTATTTTGACTGCTACTGGACGTGGGGGAGAACAGAGGGAGATGGACAAAGTGCAAGTTATTCTTAAAAAGGCATTTGGACAGTGGTGTTCCGCTTTGTCACGAGCAACTACAGTCCCTGCCTCTGCCATTACGTTGCCAAAAAGCAGCAGAGAATTAAGTTACTTCTGCTCAAGGTTTTAAAAATCAAGCAAGAGACTGATGAGAGCATTATTTAACACGACTGCTGCTTAGCAAAGTTGTCAGAAGGAGCAATGGCGCTGGGACCACACACTCGCAGATCATTAGAGACATCGTGCTCACCAGCCCAACAGTTTTTTCACCACTTCAAGCTAGAAATTTTAACTTGTTATAAAGTGTAAGCACTGAAAACACTAACAGCCTAGATCCTGCGATTTACAAAAAAAAATACTTTTTAAAAAATTTTTTATTCCACATGCTTTTGTAAATCATTCCGTTGGTTATTGCAAGTCCAGTTTACAGTTAGCAGACTTCTTTGTACGAATGGTAATGAACGAGCCAGCGTTTCACAGAAATATTTACAAATAAAATCCTACCTGTTTCTGAGCTTCTACTTTCTGCTTTCTGGTCGGATCAATGGCATCGACCATCCATTTAATGGTAAAATATGTTACAGCCCCAAATATGGTTAAACGAAAAATTAATCCAACCACTTCATTCCGGCTCAGAGGACGTGAAAATGCTTCAGCATGGACCATTTTGCCTCTCAGCACTAAATGTAAAAAAACATAAGGAGAGAGGGATAGAAAGAAAGAAAATTAAAGCTGAGAAAATATCTGCCTCGTACTTAAACGCCACTTTACCAAAACTACTTCCTATGTGCACAGTGGGCATAAAGCTCACCGTGAACGCGTAATGAAATATCTCAACAATAGCACAACCACGCCGTATAAAACTGCGTGAGATTAAAACGCGCGGCGCTCGCTGTAACGGTGGTATCGTTTCCACTTTCAGTAAGCAGAGAAGAAATGGCAGCAACAATTTGAGGCCTTACTTCTTGATCGACTACATGCAAAAAAGGTCCTGATTTCACTCTTCCCTCAAGAAAGCTGCATTCCTTTCAGCTATACAATACTCTAATAAAGATTACTTTATTTCAAGTAAGTGCCAAGTTTATATTCCCGTTAAGACTGACATTTTGTGACTGTTATCGAGCCCAGAATGCCAAGTCATGGAGACAAAGATAACTACTTTATTTAAACAGGGAGTTCCTTTCCCTAAGAGGAAGTTTAAAGGAAAGGCATCCAACTGCCACATTAAGGAGCAATCGACGACTTGTATTGGAATAAAATGAGGTTAAGAGCCAGAGCCTGCACCTAGCAGAATATATTTGGAGTTATTAATATCCCTGGAAAACTGAAAACGCTGGATGTGGCACACAGCTATCAAGGGAAAAGGCTGGCTGCTGCACAAGCCAAATCCAGAAACTGCAGCACCTTCAAGTTAAGGGAGCGTGCTGCAGAGAGGAAAAACCCCTTCCTAAAACATTGAAAAATTACTTATAAAATTGGGGTCTCCTTTCCCCAGTCCACTTTTGCCCCAGCTGGCGGAGTTTCCGTTTGAGAATCACCAACACTCTCCTCGTTCACCGTCCGACTTTCCTGCTGCAAGGGCAAAAATCAGTGGCAATTCCTTTGGCAGCTTCCAACGCTCCCTGGCTGGTCTCCAACCCGAGCTGTCAGCCAGGGAAAAGCCGGACTACCTACAGCCAAGATATCCTTGAGTTCCCCCTCGCTCAGCTAGCAGCGGCCGTATGTCCACCCCTATTCAACTCAAGGCGATGTCACACCGCAGATTCCGTTTGCAAGGATTCGGCAGGCCGGAATTTGGAGAGGCACCGCAACACGTTTACCAAAAGATGTCAATGGCTCGCTACTATATTCCAGCGTGGATCACTAAAACAGTTTTGGGGTTTTTTTTTAACTCTTTGTTCTCTGTTCAGAAATCTAAAAATCAAGGCGGTCGCTATACCTGCTTGGAAATCAAATAAAATCTGCCTGCTTAGGCATCTAAGAAAGTAATACAGAGCTAGCAGATTCCGCATGTCCTCTTAAGGACATCTTTTCTTTATTAAAATAAAATACATTTCTTAAAATATTCAGTGAGCAACCAAAAAAGCTTAAAAAAAAAAAAAAAGCCACTAAACCCAGTGAACAACCCCGCTGCTTATGCAATCCTTGCCCTGAACGACAACTGTGAGGAAAACCTTTTAACAGGAGAGAATTTCAAGCGTAACCTTTCCAGACGAGGTACCCTGCATACATTTTAGCGTTTGTTTTC